GATCGAAGGCTGAAGTGGGCGTGGTTTATACTGGAAGTCACATTAAATTGGAAAAAGGTATTTTCTGACCTAATATTCATTACATGTATCTAACTACCTACCTACCTATTTATGACACACCACCACCCCTTTAACTGTGGGACATTTAATCAGAAACTGAAAAAATGTTTTATAAACCTAAAGATTCTGTTTTGCATTGTAAACAGAAACTACTTTTTTAATGAAGGCAATTAACACAGACTACAACTAAAAACTACTGGTTATAAGATTCATTTTGTGGTGTACGTTTGCGGGGGTTTGAATGAAATCCAGCTGCCACTCCAGGCTTTTGTCTCACGCCATGGGACGACTCACCTACGGGTCCTAGGCGGGTTTGGTAAAGCTTAATAGAAAATATCAAAAATTTGTGCAGGTCTGAAAGTGACAAAGCAGCATTCCGAATGATCAATAATTAACAAAAACACTGTGTGCAATAGTCCACCTTCCACTGTCAACTCTACAGTAGGGTTCGCCTCAAACCTTAGTGATCAATGTGCTTAAGTTTGTTACTTCACTTTTCATAGTTAGCTTTGTACATATTGTTAATACCGGACATTTTTGTATAGTGTTTAGTGATCATTTTAATAACAAGGTTAGCAAGTCAGCTCGCCGAACTACTGAAATGACGAAAAGAGCCATCCAGTTTAAAGTGTAAAAAAAAAGCCACAGTAATGTACCTGAAAATCAGGCTGCAATTTGTAATGTTAAGTAACGTTAAGTAATGTCAAGTAACATCAAGTAAGTAAGTAATGTTAAGTGAGAGATGAAAAGCACTGTGATCTCTAAAGTGGGATTTATTGGCGTTGAATTGACCCTGTACTTGCTGTGTAGACTCTGCGTAGATTTGCGCCCTCTGCGTAGCCTGACGTGCACCTCCCCGGAAATGTAACTACACGTCGCAATGACGCAGACCTCCTGTTTATTTTTTTAAGCCACAAAACAAATTTTCCCCAAGTGGAAGGAAGCATTTATCATATTTTATTTGACTTACATGAATCAATAAATTGTGAAAACAATAAAGCCGCCACAAAATGGCATTTTGGTCCTGTGTGGGATTTATTTTGGCTTCATATGAGTAGAGAAAAACTCTGCTATCTGCTAGGCTACTTTATAAAACGTAAAATGTCATAGGCTTGTGCTAATAACGTTAGCGTGTTGTATTTGTTTGGAAAACATGTTTAGTATAAGACAGTTGTTTTGTCAGTGAACCTAGTGAGTTTTGATGGAGCTGAATTTTGTACCATTGCCTTTGTTAAATGTTGCTGTTGTCTCTGGCTTCATATGAGGAAAAGTCCACTAGCTGCTAGGCTAATTTATACAATGTAAAATGCCATAGGTTTGTGCTAATAACGTTAGCATGTTATATTTGTTTGGGAAAATGTGTCCAGATAAAGACAAGTGTTTGTGAATGCTGTGAGTTATCGTGAAGCTGATTTGTGTACTAGTGTTTGAAATTGTCTCTATTAAACCATGTTTAATGTGTGTTTAATGTGTGTTTAATGTGAGTTTAATGTGTGTTTTGAATCAACTAAACTTTACAGCACTTCACAGAAACCCCAACATCATCTAGCATTTTGGTGGTGTAACAGCAGCACTACACAGACACACCACCACACAAGTAGAACAGCTCACAACGGCATAGGCCTTGCCAACACACAACTATAAATCCACCTTAAGGTTGGGGGTGAATGTAGTGTTACTGTAGAGTTAACAGGTTGACAGCTAGTAAACCGATGTGAAGCTTGTAAAACAGATATACGTCACACTACTTTGTGTAAGTAGAGGACTTGTTGGCTAACAAGCTGTTTGCTAGCTTCTTGGATTCAAAATGATTTCAACCTTTGCCACCAATGTGTGTCAGGAAGACAGAGAGGTGATGGCCAGAGATCGAAATGAAATGCTCAAATATAGACGACAGGACGTCACATGAATATCAATCTTGATGAGAAATATAAACATCCCAAAACCCTGTCTTTGTGTGTGTGTATAAATCAGACTTTATATGATTTGTGCTACAAGCATCAGATGACAGAGCCCCGATAAAACCCGAAAATAGAGACAAGGAGGACACGGAGGTAAATCAGATTTACTCTCTCACACTCCTAAATCCAGCCGTCTAAATCCACAGCAACAGAGAGCTCAGAGCAAAGCCTTGCTTCAGACCAAAGCTATTTCACACGATAAAAACACCTCTCCATGACACACACACGCACGATAACTCTTTTCTTCTCTCCACCTTTAGATTATTTCCTAAATCTTGCCCCATCACTCTCTCCATTACTTTTCACATCTCTTCCACTTCAGCTCACACAACGCTCACACACAGTGTTTACTTCCCTTTACACCATCATCCCATCAAAACCCAGCCAAGGCCCATAATGGCCTCCAGGCATGAGATGGTAACACACACACATATACACTAACACACACACACAGTAATAAACACCTCCAGGGTCTCGGTTGTCTAAGGAAAAACCATTAAAAGCATTTTTTTGAATGAATGAATGAATGAATGGTTAAAACTCAAAGAAATAATCACCGTTAGCTGTTTTTGTAAGAGTTTAAAAAAACACAACTCCTTTTCTTTAAAAGTAACGGGACATGACCTGTAGTGGAACACACTGATGTCAGTTCTCTGAACACTGAACAGTGCTGAAAAATTACAACGACTGTGTGACTTTAAGGTTAATGTGTTTAATGCAAAAAGAACACAAAATCTTATCGCTGTCATAAATGCTAGTCATTAGTCGTGTTTCCATTACAGTTTCTGCAAAATAAATACGATATTTCTAAAGTTTCAACAAAGTACAATTGTGACTTCCAGGTGTTTACATTAAAAGGTGTTTTGCGTATGAGCCGTAATTCTCATAAAATCTCGTCCCGCGAGACTCCACTTTATTTGCAGAAGTAAGATGGACATTCCAAATCTCTTGCGAGCTGGAACAATCATCTCAGTTGCCACTGCTGATGTTGCAGTAGTCTACGATCAAAGACGAAGACAGCGAGTGGTATTCCAAAGGCAAAGTTCTTATGTGTGTCAGCGACCACGGATAAAGGATTTCTGGGAGAGGATCGTCAACAAGGAATTCACAGAGGTCTTTAAAGTCCAGTGGCGTATATTTGCGAAAAAAAGTGTTTCCATTACACTTTTGCGATATACTTATATATTGCCACGTCTGAAAAACCACCTCATGAGAGCGTAAAAACTCGTCCTCGATATTTGAGAGTTTTCTTGAAATGTAGGTGTTTCCATTACCAGTTTTTTATTGAGATTTTTAGGTTTTGCGCATTTCTAGGGTTAATGGAAACGCACTTACTGTTGCAATTCATCGGTCTGTCCAATGATCGAAAACAGTCACTGGGTCTGTCAGGCTGGAGAAATTTTCACGGTAATGTGACCGAAAATATTTAAGACCCAGCGAATCTGAATTAAGAAAACTTAATTTAAGACATTTTAGGACTTTATAAGGACCCTATATATATAGATAGATATAGACACCCTGGTATAAGTATAAAAAATAGCAGAAAATGGAAATACTCAAGTAAAGTACAAGTACCCTAAAATTGTATTTCTGTACTTGAGTAAATGTACTTAGTTACTTTCCTCCACTGCAGGTAACTAAGAGGCTTAAGCCTCTGCAGAGTGGGTCAGAGACTTCGGCACTTTAGCAGGCAGCGAATGAATGAATAAATGAATGGATGGATGGATGGATGGATGGGTGATCTAAAATGAATGAAATCAAAAGATGCAGAGAACCAGTTGAAGGTAAAAGACCAGAAGTGGAAAAAGTCATCGCAAGATTTTAAAGTTGTTCAGTTTTTCAGTTTTCAGTGGTTTTGTTGGTGGTGGCAACATTAACTTGCTAACTTACCATTAGCATTAGACGAATCGAGTAGCTACTATAGCTGACGTTATGTGGTAAATTCAAGGTTAGCCCGGAGCTGATATCATAACGTAACGGGTATAGTAATAATCAGCAGTTTCTCCCATTCAAAATGAGACCAGACTCTTCTATGGACATCAGTTTTTGAGCCACGACGAAGGCTAACCAACAGATGGTAAGGCTCGTTGTCTTTAGCTGAGCTGATTTCCAAAAAACTTATGGCCCCTTCTGGCCAGTTAGGAGTTGTGAGGAGTCAGCAGTTAACAACAGTATACAACAGGTTCTTCAACATCTGTGAATCACCACAACCACAAGCATACAGTCAGCATACAGTCATAAATGCTTACACAAAATATTAGGCTGATTGGTCCAGTAGTTTGTGAGATTAGCTGCAGACAGACAGATACACACACTGACATACGCAAAACACACGACAAAACATAAGATCCCCGACAGGCTTATGCTTGGTCGAGAGAACTACAGATTTCTCTGGGTTTGAACATTACTGGAAACATTTCGATAATGTTAGTACACAACTCAACAACATTTCCAACATTTTCTATCTTTAAAGCTAAATCTTTAAAAACTCTTCCTGTTTCGCGCTGCAAAAAGCTTAATCTGGGCAACATGTGTGTGTTTGTGTTGGTACTTCGTGCCCAGGCAGTATGTGTGATATGCAGCGCTGAGGAAAACTTTAAAAGCCTTGGTCTTAGACAGATGAGGCAACCACACATACATCAGTAACACTCATAGACACAGTTGTCTTCTTGTTTTAGCTATAGGGTCAGCAGGACCAGCCAGGGTTAATACCAGAGGACTATTTCACACTTGCTAATTGCTCCATAGACACACATGGCCACACGAGAATGTGGTCCCTTCAAACTCACTGTGGACGAAAGACTTTAGCAACAGTTATCAGGTTTACATGACTGAGACAGACGTTCCCTGCCAATCCCATTGTCTTATGTTGTTATTTAAATCCATTTCATTGCTTTTGTGTCATCTTTTCAACAACAGGGAACATTTAAGCTAGCTAGTTTCTTAAAGTAATAAAGATAATAAAATATTTGTCCTCACCGGCGTGGACGGTTGATGACGTTGTTGCTGTTTGAGACATGGTCAGTTTTACGTGTGCTGCTGTTGATCTTCGACGTTTTTGGGTGACCTGCGTCCGCTGAGCCCTGTTGCCGAGACCCCTGGGCCTTCTTTTCTTCCAGCATGGCCAAAAATACACATACAAATACAGGCAAACACAGACATATAAACAATACACACTTTCATAAGGTCTTTAATCACACACACACAGACACACATCTACTTTTGAGTCAGTCTGATGTCTTTCCTCTGGAAGCGTGTTACACCTCCGAATCCAAAGATATATCCCCAAAATTGTGTTTCAATTCTTTCCACGTTTACAAAGAAATAAGAAGGTATATCCAAAAGTAATTCCAGAAGAATTCCTCCCGCATTAATGGAAAATTAAGGATCCACTCTCACACAGAGTTTGCAAAAGAGTATTATCAACCAATTTTAGTACAGGATAAAAAGTTAAAAACAAACACATAGTAAAGTCCGCGAATCTTCCCAGCTCCAAAAAAAAGCAAAGTCCTCCGGTATTCCCGTATTTCGGAATTTTAACCCAGGTGTTCCGGAACTCGAGTGACGTGGATTTCTGAGGGCTTAAAGCCATTAGTGGCTCAGTGGGATTTGAGCAGCGAGAGACTGGAGGGTGAAGCAGGGGAAGTGCTGCGCAGCACTACACGTGTCCCTCTGAGCCAGCAGCAGGAGACGGACAGAGACAGAGAGAGACAGGAAAAGAGAGAAGCAAGCGGGAGCGTCTTGAAGGCAAGAGAGATAGAGAGAGGGATCTACTGATAAAAGGAGGGTCACAAACTCTCCCTTATCACTAAGTTTTAGTTATTTGTCTAAAATACATGTGTCAGCACAGGGAAGTCACTTTGTTCAACACTCCAGCTATTAGTGGCATTCTGATGGTAATGAAAGGGAGCATATCTGTGTCTCCAGGGTCCTTAATATCCTCTAAGTACGACTCATTAAGGAGACGTCTAAAAGGGTTTAATGTTCTTAGCAGTGTTTTTTTTCCCTAGGTCAAACGTTCAGTGTTTCCTTGGGTTAATCTGTTGACATCTCCCACCTACAGTTTATAGCTGGATGATGTTTTCACTCCTTGAAACCTACGCCCTCAAATTTATAGGTAAGACAGTTTTCTTGACTTTAGACAAAGACTACGTTTACACGCACTCTAATATTCCATTACTACTCCGAATATGACAATATTCTGAATTTGACATAAGTGATGTAAACTGCATATTCTGTTTGGATATTCCAAATTAGGCCTTTTGTGAATTAAGTATTTTCTGATTTAGACATGTGAGATCCAGATCCAGAACATGCCAGCCCACATTACTACACACATTTACTGAAGACATGTACTACTATACATTATAAAACATAATAAAAGACTTGGATATTAACACCTTTTCAAGGAGGTGGATGAAAGAATTAAAGAGTGATGGTGCTCTTAAGCAGCCTTCAGACCAAAGATCCCCCTTGCAACGACTTGCAACTTGCAAATACACGTACCCGTTTGCAACTAAATGGCCTTGCAATGTCTTGCAACAGTACAGTTCACACTGAGGCATTGAGCTGAGACTGCCATTTGCGACATCACGTAAACTGCTGTCATTTCGACAGCAACGGTTACGTTATGACGTAACATAAACAGCACAACAAACCCCAGATAGCAACAACCTGCATCCCAGTTGCTCCACGATATAACTTCTGGCATTGTGTAGTAGAGTAGCTCTTTAAACTGGTGTTATACAAACAGGGTAGTGCCTCCAAAACATTTTTGAGCTCATCTTCTCTCTGCTCTGTCCAAAAGTCTGCCATGTTTACTACTGTGTGTGCAACAGCCACAGCGTGCGCTCATACGTACGGTCCACGTGGGTACCCAGCTGTACACTAAAAAAAGCATGAGCTTGCCGCTGATTGGTTACAAGGTTCGAGATGGTCTGCGACGCATTGCCCGTGATTGAATAGGTTGAATCTCTTGCAACTGCATGAGCCGACCTGAGCTGATATGCAACTCAGACCACTGCAACTTTTATCTGCAATGTCCTAAAACCGTTTAGTTGCATCTGGAACCTTTGGTCTGAACTGGCCTTTAGGCTGCAACAATGAGACAAGACAAGTGTACAAATAGTTAAAAGCTTACTTATTTACAAAATAATAATAAATAACGGAACAAGCGTGAAAGTCAGTAATCATGTCTGCATGTATGGGTGTGTGGAAATGTCTGTAGAGAAAGCAAAAGAACAGCAGCTGCGTCGTGAGGGAAGAGAGGACTTCTGTTGGAAGGTGGTGAGCTTTTATATCATGAAGCACACCAGGCCCAGGTGTGGCTCCTGAGGTAAATGACGACCTTCTGCATTGACCTGCATCCTGAAACCATAAGAATGCCCGGGAAAACAGGCACTCCTAGTGGAGTGGAGGGGTCGTCACAGTAGCATTTCATCATTTGCCTCCAGGAAGTGCACCAGGCTTTGAAGCCAGTTGTTGTAGAGGCCAAACAGTGGAACTATGTCCGTCACCTAGGGCCCACAAAGACTTTTTCCCATGGACCGAAAGAGCCGTCTGTAAATCAGAGGATAAACCCTCGGCGAAATGAGTGATTTCACTATCAGGATTTGATCCATCTGATGCGATGACTTTTGAAAAGTCTGGTAGAGCATCACAATTGTATGCTCTTTCAAGTTAGCAGAGCACTAAATCAGTAGTAGCTGGCTCGGCCGGTAGAAGTCTCTCGCGTCCCTGCTCTATTGGCCACCCAGCCCAGAAGCAGTGTCGATCATCCAAGAGATTTTAAACATGAGCACTTAACTTTTTTGGCTTCATGCACCATTGAGCAACTTTCTGCCTAAAACACTGTTTCCAGTTCTCTTTATACATCCATGTTTGATGCCTGCAGCAGATGGCAGACACACAGTACAGACAAACAAAGACATGTGGGTGAGGAGTTGTATGGATCAAGGACGCAAATAAAAAAAAGCTGCTTTTATGGAGTAAATGTGTGTTGAAGGGGGTCAACACGACAGTGACGTATGCTACTACATGAGTAAGAAAAGGCAGACACTTAATAAGACACAACAGGAACACGCTTTGTTGATTCCAAGGTCTTATGGGGAATAAAGTCGATCGTATATTGTCAATGTCCTAAAAAGCAGTGTGAAATGTAGTCAGTGGGTGCTGTTGGTGTCCTCCCACTCCCTGCCTGGGTAAATGGTGACCTCTGGTGGTTCTCAGTGGTAAGTACGAAAAAGGAAAAGTCTAGTGTGCAAACTTGTACATATAATAAAAATATGAATTGCTGCCATTGAATCGAAGGTAGAGGGTCCCATGTGGTTAATAAGAAGTCCGGACCCCATGGCTGGACCAGTTGGGAACCACTGGCTTAGTTCAGGTTGTTTCAGCCTTTCTTTTTCAGACGGCAAGTAAGTTTTACTGCTTCCAAGTATTTCATTAATTAATAATTATTTGACAAGACGTCTAGAGGTTTTGGACGAGTCAGAATAAGTTGGATCTTTTTATTTTTAGTAGTATTTTAATAGCAAATTCATGCAGGAGGGTTTTAGTCATCAGGGGGCACAAACAGGACCAAAGTTAACTGAGAAGGTCCACTGTGAACTCAGAGGTAAAAACGTTTAATTTCAGTATTGGTGGTCCTTTTTTTTTCTTGGTAATATTTTAATACATGCCCTTAATAGGGATGGCAGGCAATTTAATTACGGATCATATTAGAAAACACTTGGGTTGATCATGATGAATTTCAATTGTCCAAATAATCAGGAACATCTTCACAGGTGACTTGAATAAGCTGTCATGCTTGCTAACACACAGATCTGTTTTAAATTTGTTTTATTTTGAAATGCCACAAAGAGGCGTTTAAGCCTGTCATCATGACTGAAGACGGTTTCAAAGATTGTTGGATTGTTCTCTGAGATGCAATAAAAATATCTGTATTTTTAACCAAATGTAAGATTAAAGTGATTCTAGTGTGTTTTGGTGCCATTTAAGAGTTTAGTGATTATCAGGATAATGTCTTGAATTCAAATTATTTTAGCCAGGACAACTGTGACATGACTTTTTTACATTGTTCCAGTCCTAGTCCTAAACAGGGCTCAACTTTTTAAAAGTGGTTGCCAAGCGGTCAACTACTTACCAGGCATCAGCTTCTGGTTGCCGTAACAGAAAATATGGTTGTCATGTTTAGCTACCTTAGTTTCTGAGTAATGCGACGCAGTTTTACCTTAGCTTAACAATGAAAATGTGACATAAAAGAATATTTTAAAGTTTTACTGCAGTAATGAACAAAAACCTTTGTAGTTGTGTTTATCTTATTGTAATATTTAATCTACACTGCTCAAAAAATTAAGGGAACACTTAAATCACACATCAGATCAAGTTATTATTCAAGTTGACAATCTTTACTGATGTACACTGTATAATTTGTTGAGAACAAAATGACGCAACAACGGTCAATGGAAACCAAACTCATTAACCCACTGAGGGCTGGATTCAAAATCACACTGAAAATCAAAGTAAAAATTGAAATCAAAGGCTGATCTAACTTGCGTGAATTCTATCACGGCAATGCCTGCAAGTATGCACTCCCAATAACGTCTGAGCATGCTTCTGATGAGTCGGCGGATGGTGTCCTGGATCAGGCCATCAGTGAGCTCCTGGACAGTCTGTGGTGGTACCGATACATAATATCCCATAGGTGCTCAATTGGATTTAGGTCAGGGGAACGAGAGGGCCAGTCAATGGCATCAATGCCTTCATCGTCCAGGAACCCAGGGCTCGCTGCACCAGCGGAAGGTCTGACAATCGCTCTGATGATTTTATCCTGGTACCTAACAGCAGTCAGGGTACTGTTGGCTATGACATGGAGGTCTGTGTGACCCTCCAAGAAAATGCCTCCCCAGACCATCACCGACCCACTACCAAACTGGTCATTCTGGATGATGTCACAGGCAGTGTCACGTTCACCATGGCGTCTCCGGGCTCTTTCACGCCAGTTGTGGTGTTCTCTGGTGAATGTCAATCGAGCTGTACGGTGCTGGGGTGCGAGCACAGGTCCCACTAGAGGACGTAGGGCCCTCATGCCACCCTCATGGAGCCTGTTTCTGACAGTGTGGTCAGAAACATGCAC